AGTGATATAATAAACATAATTGATGAATAAAAAGAATATAATATAATTAAAATTTATGTACATACATAAAAGAATGAAATTGAAAAAAAAAATAGATAAACAAACAAACAATATTAAGATGATCAAATCAATATAATTTGCTCAAATATTTGTCAAGTAAATTGTCAACAATAACTTGATAAGCTCTTTCAGTTGGATGATAACTATCCCAAAATATATAAGTCGAAGAGTTCGAACACGTGAATGGGTTCAACGAGTTGCACAAATAGGATATTGCAAGATTTCCTTTACCACAACATCCCTTATCAGCTACCTCAAAACCTGAAACATATTTAGATCAATTAAATATAGTTTAGTTTAAAATAGATAATAATTGAAAATTATAAATATATTTATTCTTAGATAAATTTGTTAGATGAACTTACCATATTTTCTAGGTTGTTGGATCATGTCGAAAAGAGTATCATAAACATTAATGTAAAGGATAACACCATCCAACTCTTTATCTAAAGAATCAAGTGCTGGAGAAAGTCTTGAATTGAATTGTTTTGCCATGTTGTTTAAAGGTTGATTACATCCTCTTGTTAATAAACCCCCAAACACAGTTCTTTGAAGTGGAACACAACCAACAGGAACTGCACTAAACACTCCAATTTTTCTAGCTCCAAGCTTATGTAACTCCTGAAAATTAATTATATTTATAGAATCATTACTTTTTGGATTTAAGTATAATATTGATTAGGTTATATATACTTGAAATTATAGTACTTACCTTCACAAATTTGATAGCAGCGTCAGCCAAAAAATTGGCATATGAGGTACGATCATATCTATGAGCTCGAGGTAAATAAGTGTGAGCAAGGTCATTGCTACTAGACACTACAAGAAAGAAACTGTTTTCCACAATATCTTTTGCTTTTTCTTCTCCAAAATGTTTTTTGATCTTTGATATATATTCTTTAAAATATGTGAGTTGATCCCACACCGATATAACTGACTGCAATATGAAACATAAATATTAGGAAAAGTTAAAAATGAATCACCTATAAAAAAAACCAACAATCATGATGATAAAATATTAGTTATAATATACCATGATTTGTGCTGTTAATGGATCATAACCAGTTCCTCCAGATGCAAATGTTACACCTTTAAGAAGATCCTCAGGCTTCAAATTCGGATTCATATATGCTGGTAATGTCTTAGCCAAACCTAATTTTTCAGCTGCAATATTTTATAACATACTTATAAAACTATATAAATAGATTTACTATTATAATGTATATAACAATAATTCAATTGTTACCAATAAGATCAGAAGGAACTCTTCCATCAGAAAACCTTCCAGTAGCGGAGCCTCCAGGAAAATCTTTGCCATATGGAGGGAAGTTACACTTTAGAAGAGTGGGAAGATTATTGTTATTTCCTGTATCCATTATTGAATCTCCAAAAACTATAAGTGCTGGGATTGTTGTGTTCTTTCCTTGTGCTGCTGCATTAGCTTCAATGGCGATTAATGCCAAAGCAAGCCATAACATTTGAAGCTTCATTGTGTGTTGTTTGATTCGTTTACTTTTCTGTTCAAATTTGCTTGTGTGTTTTATAAATTCAGAGACATGTGTGCATGCTTATATATCTTGTTTCTGTTTGTTGGATTTCTAAACTTATCCAATTTGACATATGATATATCTAATTAGTTATTACATTGATATTATTTGTTAGGTTCTATGATATATCTAATTAGTTATTACATTGATATTAGTTGGAACGACAGCGAAATTTAATTGTTATTTCTTTCCCATAAATTGGTAACTAAATGGTGTGCAACTTGAATATATAACCGTAAATTAGTTAACATAAAAAAAAAATTGAATATGATATCTCAGCTTATGTACGTACACATGATTTTTTTTAAAATGTTTTATATCAGAAAAAGTCAAAGTATCGAAGTATCGAACGTCTAATTGTTTTTTTATACCATTAATAACTCAAACGTCTAAACGTTTTATCATAGTTAATTAAATAAAAATATCAAACGTCTAAACAGTAAAGTTTTAACCATGACTTCTCTCACATGGCTTGTCCATACCAGATTAATTCTAATTGGTGAACAAATTTGTTCAGTATTAGAAAATATATGTCTCTCTACATTATATATAGTACTAGATTAGAAAATAAACATTTTATATTATTAGAAAATATATGTCACTCTACATTATATACTGTACTAGATTTGAAAATAAACATTTTTCTATTATTAGAATGTATAGCTTACGTTATAAAGTGAACAAGTGTGTTCATTGTTAGGATAGAAATCATTTGGTAAATACAATTTAAGAGTTAGTAATTATTTTTAAATTTTGTAGCTAGTCAGAGTTCTAAGAGCAACATTAACCATGAGCTTTTAACTCATTCTTAGCCTAAGATTTGCTAAGAATTTTCTTGTGTTTTTGTATGTATACGTTTTCTTCACCATACATATGGGGTAGATTAAAAGTGATTCGCCACGCCTAGTTGATAGTTAAACCTCTGAACTATATAAATTATCCTTGTTTAGAACTTTTTTGTGTTTGAAAATGTGTACTAGATTAGATTACATAGGCATAATTATCCAAAGCTCTTTCGGATTATCTAGCCATAAACCTCTTACTACTGAATTTTAATGAATTTTGGTGCATTCTCAAAATTGAGTGTTTAAAGACTCTAACGCTTATACTCACTATTAATTCAAAGTCTTTTAACGAATTTTGGCTCGCACAATTCAGTTATATTGATCATTTTTTTTCTTGTAGTTTGTTTTGATATACGATAAATCTATACAAACTTTCAGAATTGGATTTTAATAAACTTTTGATAATATCATATCGTCGATGTTATTTCAGTTGGAAAAAAAATGTTATTATTTCAGTTGTGTCATTTTTTGTAAGTTCGTTTTGTGTTTGTAGCTATAACTTATATTCTATTGTAGATGCATCATGATCATAGAAGATATATTTTCCGCTTAATATTTTCACTTAATAGGTGTGTGCCAAAGTTGAGAGAAAACTTGAATGTTTATTGATCATAAACATAGATATATATATATATATATAGTACAAGAGGTTAGGTTTTATGTGAAAGATTAAATATCCTAATCATAATTGGAGTATAATGGACCGGGCCTAATACTCCCCCTCAAGTTGGAGCGAGGAAGTCACAAGCGCTTAACTTGCCGAGTAAATATCGAAACTGTGGACCATCGAATGCTTTAGTGAGAATGTCTGCGAGTTGTTCAGTGGTACCAATATGAGCTGTTGCAATGGTGCCATTAAATATCCTAATCATAATTGGAGTATAATGGACCGGGATTAATAGTTACTTCTGGAATAATTCTGCTACTACAAAAGTAATGTATCTCCTCATCTTTGGTAAACCGTTTGGCGTTAGCCAACGTAACTCTTTTCATGGTCTGGTTTATAACATCAGTTTTAGATGCATGTGGGAAAGAAAGGCTTTGCAAAAAGTCTTATAGTCTCTAAAGGCTGTTCTGAATTGCTTCATAGATTGTTTGGGCTTTAAGAGGTCTTGCCTACCAAACTCTGATTGTTTACCATGAAGATAGAGATAATTTTTCTTTAGAAAATAATCTTTATTCAAAGTATATAGGATATAGCAATAATATAAAATTGAGGAAAGTTTGACTGAATAAATTAATTTTGAATAGGTTATAAAAATATAATACTATACCATAAAAGTCATATGTATGTACTTATCTTTGCCACATATTCATCACTCCATGGTTGTATAAATTCTATCATTTGATTGAAGAAAAAAGATATCACCCATGTTTTGATTGATGGTATAAGTTATTTTCTAAAATATCATATGTATGTAAGTTTTGTTTTGATTGGTGGTGTTTGGGTTTGGGTTTCCAATGGATTTAATTTTAATTTTGAAACCAGTTAGATTATCTCGTATTCTTGTGTTTGTAGATTTTTATTAGATTTCAGTTTAGATCGAGGCCTCTAGATCCTTCTTAAGTTTTAACAGCAATTTGCTTTTGAAACCTTATATGTTTTTTTAAATAAAGTTCTTCCGGTAAGAATCCTACTTTATTTTCCAACGGATTTTTGTTCGAAATTTGTTTAAAGAACTTTGGCATGTTAATTTAGTTATATCATGTATTAATTGTAGTTTTCTCTAATAGGCATGCAATTCTTGTTCTTAAGTTTAGGGTTTTAGATTTGCTATGAAATTTTAATTAAATCGTATTTGTGTTTCACTTGTTTAAGCATTTATATGTTATAAACACTTTGTGTTTTCAGATATTTTCTTTATTACATTTTAGAGGCATCATATGGTCACAAAGTCTAACAAAATATTTAATTAGGACATCATATTGTCACAAAGTCTACCAAACGGTTGTCAAAATATTTCTGAGAATACAAGAGGAATTGGTCTTGGGTCTGAGAATTGTGTAAAGATCATTAGAAATCTTAAGTGTAGGGGCCATGTTAAGAGCAATTTAATTAAGACATAACTTGCTGACTTAGTTTAGCCAAGAGAGCAAATGTTGTCAAGACATTCATTCACGCTTGCATGAATTAACGTCTTCACCTGATCAGCTCTTAGGGTAAACCAAGTCAGAAATTTCTGTCTGAACTTGCTCTCGACGTGACCTGAACACTCTAGGTGTCTTATGATCTTGACACAATGCTCGAACCCAAAACAGAACCTGTTTGCATTCACTGAAGTATCTTGACCTTAATTGAGGGAGAAATCAGAAGAGAAAACGAACAATGAAGATGTTAGATCTTATAACTTATAAATTATAGCAAACCCCTAATTTATAAAATCATGAGGCCTGATCAAATATAACTTATAACTTATAAAAATTAGGGTTTTACCGGAGAGGTAATATTTTCATAAGTTATAGCAAAACCCTAATTTATATTATAACCTGCAGCAACCTTATAGCCACTTTGCAGCTGCCTTTGAGAAATCAGATGAGGAAACGAACAATGAAGATTATAGATCTTCCACGTGATTTGCTAGAGAATATATTCTCTAGGTTGGACGAAGAGTTTCTAAGACAGTTGCGATGCACTTGCAAACTGTTTAACGCTTTATTCAAAGATCGAAGATTCTTACAAAACCGCTTCCACAAAGCAGCAAGGGAAGTGCTCGTAATGATGAAGTCAGAGCTTTATTTATTGAACTTTGATATCAACGGTAGTCAAAGCTACACCATGATCGAATTCAGCAGATTACGACGTCGTAATTACCATATTGACGTTGATCACCAATTCGATGTATCCGATGCCTTTCACTGTGATGGTTTATTGTTGTTACGTACCACTTACAACAACATGCTTATCGTTTGGAACCCGTGTTTGGGGAAAGCCATGCATCTCTATCCTAGTAATCAGTGCAAGGGCGGCATCTTTGCCCTAGGATACCATAACGAATTGTGCGATAGCTACAAAATCTTGAGCATTCATCAAAAAGGTGATCCGGCCGAGTTAGAGATGTTTGATTTTTACTCTGATTCAAGGTCATGGAGGGCTCTTGATGATGTCTTTCTAGGATGCATCATACAATCCCGTGGTGTGTCTCTAACAGGGAATACTTATTGGATTGCTTCAAAAGTCATCAATGAATTTTTACTGCTATGTTTTGATTTCACAACCGAGAGATTTGAACGCATGGATCTTCACTTTCAGAGTGTTGGTTACAAGATATTAGCCTTATCAATTGTTAACGAAGAGCAACTTTCGGTTTTGCAACAGAGTTTGGAGACGTCAATGGTGGAGATTTGGGTGACGACCAATGATAAGAGTCTTGACCAGACCAAGATCTTGTCATGGAGCAAGTTGTTGGCAGTGGATTTATACACTTATTATTATGACCATAGGTTTACGTTTGATGTAAGTTTCTTTATCGACAAAGAGAGTAAAACCGTCGTTTGTTGGGACAAAGAACAAGTATACATTTTTGGAGAGGATCATCACTACGGACATATCAATTTCGGAGGAGAGCCTGCAGTTATGTTCCAAGGTTGGTTCAAATTTAAACCTGAGTGTAGTAACTATAAGCAAGTATGTCAATTTCCGATGAGATGAGTGATTGAATTTTTTTGAAAAACTTTGCTTCCAAAGTTTGTTAAGTCCACAGTCCAGAGCCAAAGACACTTTACTTCTAGTGGAACCATGAATTTATATATATATATATATATTATTACCGGTTAAAACTTGTTGTCAAATGCTCCATTTTATTCAAGGCTATCATTTAAGACCTCTAAATCTAAGCCAAATGCTTCTTCTTTTTATTTTGCTTTTGAAGCCAAAAGTGCTTCTATCATTGATGCTTATTATAAGCCTTTGAATCTAAGCCAAAAGTGCTTCTTTTAATTTTTCTTAAAAAAAATATATATATATATATATTCACAATTTTCTTTATCTAAACTAAATGCTTTTTTCAGTTTATCTTAAACTATATGCTTCCAAACGATTAATATCGTTCCAACCTCCACACAACACAATGTGTGCTCCGCTTCACGGTAAATCCGTCCAAACACATGGAATTTTTTTTTTTATGCTTCTTCAATCCCATATATTCCTCAACGATGTCAATCTCAAGATGTTGCTTCCGCTGTCTACGTACACTTCATCACCGCCTTGAGATTGAAGCGACGTATTAAGGAAAAAGTATCATCGTACCACCTATGATTACTCAAATCCATATATTCTTCTAATATATAATTATATTATTCTATGTAATCCTTTTAATTATGTCATTTGATTATGTTATGTGCTTATATACAGGTTGTATCATTCCATTCAATAATACAACAACAATACATTTCTACACAATTTGCTTACAACTAATTGAAAAATATGTGTTAATGACTTATTTGTTGAGAAATTTAAGAGTTTAAAGTTCATGAAAATAATTTATAAGATGTATTAATGATAATATGTGCTCATACTATTTGACAATATGTTTGTTACTTTTGAAAAATGCTGCTATAACAAAAATAATGTATCTTCACGTCTTTGGTAACCGGTTTGGCATTAGCCGCTTACCCAACTCTTTCCATGGTCTGGTTTATTGCATCAGTTTTGAATTGCTTCATATACTGTTTGTGCTTTAAAAGGTCTTACCAATCAAACTCAGATTGTTTACTTTGTTTAGAAAGTAATATTTATTCAAAATATATGGGATATAGCAATAAATTTGTAATGGAGGAAATTTTGACTGAATAAATTAATTTTGAATATAAAAAAAATATAATATCATGCATACCATAAAAGTCATATGTATGTACTTATCATTATTGCCACATATTCATCACTCTATGGTGTCGTGGTTCTATAAATTCTATCATTTGATTAAGAATTGACTGTTGATATAAATTATTTTCTAAATTATCATATATACATATGTAAATTTTGTTTTTTTTTTTTTTTTTTTTTTTTTTTTTTTTTTTTTGTCATCAGCAGAACCAGATCAGCTCAGATGAGCCAATGTTGAGGACAATTGTTTACAAACTTGACAAGAGACGGCATGGTGCGAACATTTCGCGCCAAAGAATCCGCCTTCACATTCAAGCTACGAGAAATAAGAGAGAGAGAAAAAGATGAAAATTCTTCCCTATCAGCGATGATGTCCTCCAAATAAACAGGGAAAGCTGGCCAGTCGGTTGGAGAAGACACCATCTTAACCAAGTCTGAACAGTCCGTGAGGAATGAAACATCCCTATGGTTGTGTCCTATCATACAACGCATCGCCCATACAAGGGCTTCTACTTCGGCATGAAGGGGGGATAGGCTACGTCGGAGATTGGAGGCACCCATTGTCGTGGAGGAGTCTGGGACATGTTGGCAATACCATCCCAATCCTGCAAATTCATCTGTATTCTTCCAGGAGCCGTCAATAAAACATCTGTATCCTGTAGCCGTCAATAAATATAATATCATGTAAATTTTGTTTGATTGGTGGTGTTTTGGATATGGGTTTTCAATGAATTTTATTCTTGTGTTTGTAGATTTTTGTTAGATTTCAATTTAGAGGCATCTAGATCCACAGATCTTAAGTTCTAACAACAACTTGCTTTTGAAACGTGATATGTTTTTAAAAAATAAATTCTGTTCACAAGTTTTCGGTTTTAGATTTGCTATGTAATTCTGATTGAATCGTATTGATGTTAATTACACTTGTTTAAGCATTTCTATGTTATGAACACTTTGTGTTTTCAGTTATAGATTTGCTAGGTTGTCAAAACATTTCTGGGAATACAAAGAATACAATAGTGTTTGGCTTTGGATCTCAGAATTGAGTAAAGATCACTTAGTTTTAAGTGTAAAGGGGCCATGTTATGAGCAATTTAAGACATAAGTTGGTCACTTAGTTTAGCCAAAAGAGCAAAGGTTGGGGAGATATATGTTGTGAAGACGTTCATTCATGCTTTCTTGGAGGATATAGAGTTTTCCTTCGAATGTATCGATGAACGTCTTCACCACATGCATCTCCTGATCAGCTCTTAGGGTAAACCAAGTCAAAATTTTCTGTCTGAACTTGCTCTCAACATGACTTGATCACCACTAGTGGTCTATAATGATCTTCACACAATGCTAAAATCCAAGACCAAATCTTATTGTAGTACGTCTTTGCATTCACTGAAGTATCTTGACCATCATCGATTTGGTCTGACATGAACTGAGGTAGTGATGATGGGCAGATTCTCCAGGACATGTCTTTTTAATCTTAAACAACTACAAACTTTACTTCCACGTGTATGGATCATGTATAAGCACACTTATATAATATATATATATATATATATATATATATATATGTAAATGTAATCTCAGATTTCCAAGACTTTAGATATCACAAACAAAAGAAATACAATAAGACATGCAAAGTAGCCCTGGGCACGAAGCGAATATTCGGAAAATTTGTGATATTTGTTATTTGCTTCGCCTCGACCGAATAGTTGATTTTGCTATTTGCTTCGATTCGTAAATTTTCGAGTATTCGGAACTTCGAATATTCGAATATTTTTCGTAATATTTGCGAATTACTTGCTTCGCTTCGCTTCGACCCATTTAAATTTTTTTTTAAAACTAAAAACATATAGTACATAAATATAAAGTGCAAAATATGAGATATTAGATGTTCTTGTTTGATATGTTTTCAAAATAAGAAGAAAATGTAACCACAGTCCATAGAATTCTAACATTTTACTTTTAATATTGTTTTTTCTAATAAATTTTTATTTGCTTAAGAACAACATTTAGCAAAAAAACCAACGGACTAAAATATAATAATTTGAATAATATGCCTATAAGATATATATCCAAATCTATAAATACACATATTATATATATATATATATATATAATAATTAAATTTATACATATATATAAATATACGAAGCGAAGCGGATATTCGACACTAAGAAAATCAATATTTGTTATTTGCTTCGGTTTTTACGAATACTACATTTTCATATTTGCTTCGGTTCAATATCTTATAGATATTTGAATTTTTCGAATCGAATCGAAACGAATATCGAAGCGAAGCGAATCTAACGAATATTTTGCCCAGGGCTAATGCAAAGCTCTTTTATATCCAAACTATATATAGAAAGGTGTATGCTTCTTGTCATCTTAATTTGGTTTTTCTTTTCTCCTTGTTCAGAATCCTCTTTTTCCAAACTTCTCTATTCTTCTCATTCTCAAATTCTGATCTTATGAGTTGCAGATTCTTACGAACACTTACAGTAATACCTATACTAATTTATAAGTAAAAAAGACATGTCTGAATATTTTTTTTACAAAATTATTAAGATATCCGATCGATATTATATATTTTTATATCACATTATATGGGTTGATTTCGGCAGTTTTTCCTATTCTCACTCACACTGGAATAAGTAAACATAAACATTTGAAAATATTTACAAAAATTTAATTGAAAAGTAATAATATTTATGGGCCTGATTAGATTGATCGGGGGAGATAATATTTTCTTATTAAGTAATAACAAAACCCTAATTTATATATCTTATAATCTGCAGCGGCCTTATCGCCACCTTTACAGCTTCCTTTGAGAAATCAGAAGAAGAAACGAACAATGGCGATGTTAGATCTTCCACGTGATTTGTTAGAGAATATATTCTCTAGGTTGGACGAAGAGTTTCTAAGACAGTTCCGATGCACTTGCAAACTGTTTAACGCTTTATTCAAAGATCGAGGATTCTTACAACAACGCTTCCACAAAGCAGCAAGGGAAGTGCTCGTTATGATGAATTCACGGCTTTTTATATTGGACGTTGATATCGACGGACGTCAAAGCTACACCGTTATTAAATTCAGCAGATTACAATACAATGACCAATACCGTAATGACGTTGATCGTGATCAATTCGATATATCCAATATCTCTCACTGCGATGGTTTATTGTTGTTACATACTACGTTCGACAACATGCTTATCGTTTGGAACCCGTGTTCGGGGCAAACCATGCATCTTTATCCTAATAACCAATACACGGGTGGCATCTTTGCCCTTGGATACCATAGCAAATTGTGCGATAGCTACAAAATCTTGAGCATTAATGAAAAAAGTGATTCCGTGGAGTTGGAGATGTTTGATTTATATTCTGATTCATGCTCATGGAGGGCTCTTGATGACGTCACTATCGGTTGCAACATACAGTCTCGTGGTGTATCTCTAAGAGGGAATGCTTATTGGATTGCTTCAGAAGTCATCAAAGACTCTTTACTATTGCTAAGTTTCGATTTCACAACCGAGAGATTTGAACGCATGGATCTTTGCTTTCAGCGTGTTGGTTATGAGATTTTAGCCTTATCGGTTGTTAGTGAAGAGCAACTTTCGGTTTTGCAACAGAGTTTGGAGACGTCAATGGTGGAGATTTGGGTGACGGCCAATGATAAGAGTCTTGACCAGACCAAGATCTTGTCATGGAGCAAGTTGTTGGCAGTGGATTTATACACTTATTATTATGACCATAGGTTTACGTATGATGTAAGTTTCTTTATCGACAAAGAGAGTAAAGTCGTCGTTTGTTGGGACAAAGAACAAGTATATATTTTTGGAGAGGATCATCACTATGGACATATCAATGTCCTAGGAGGATCTGGATGCGAGCCTCTTTTTCCAGCAGTTATGTTCCAAGGTTGGTTCAAATTTAAACTGCCGGTAGTAACTATAAGAAGTTATTTCAAATTCCGACGATAGAAATAGATCATGTAACTAAGTAACGGGCTGGATTATATTTCTCAAACCTATAATTTTTCTTCTAGTGGAACCATGAATTTAAACGTTATATTTCTCAAACATAATGTGTTTCTCTCATATTCTAAGACTACAATATTTCTCTCATATTCTAAGACCTCGTCATATTCTAAGAACTGTCACATTAGCTTATTTATCTACCCATAAGATCATCTCCAACACATATTATTCGTAGGTGTCTTAAATTCTCATAACGAAAAAAAAAAATATATGTTTGAAATTTTATCAATTGAATAAAATGCTTTAACTCATAAATGGAGTACGGTAAAATAGTAACTAAGGAGAAAATAGTTATAATATGTCTTGAAAATCAATTCACGTTTTTATAAATGAGAGCTAATAGAAGGTTTTTAAAAAAACTAGATGTCTAGAGGCAACAAGTGCATCATATAAGATGAGGAACAAATTGGTACTTAAAAGTGATTATAAATAAATTACTAAAACTTAGGAAAATTATGTATATGACTAAAGTAAAATACTCACTCTGTTTCATTATAAGTGATGTTTTAGCTAATTTTGTTTTTTCAGTATAAGTGATGTTTTCAATTTCCTATGCAAAAATTTAATGTATTTTATACTTTTTGACCAATTATATTTTACATCATATATTTTTATTGATTGAATTCATATTAGTTAATGATATTTTTATGGAAAATGGATAAGTTATATGTTTTATTATTTAGTGTGCCAAAACCTTAAACATCACTTATAATGAAACACAAGGAATATTTGAGATCTTATCATTTGCGCTGGCCGCGTTTCCTACCTATAAGTCTACAAATTTTAACCAACCCTTTTATGCAAATGCTTGTGGGAGAGAAAGGCTTTGAAAAAAGAATTGTGGAAGACTAAAACTAACTTATCACTTTCTTGGCAGTCTCCAACGGCTGTTTTGAAATTCTTTAGAGATCTTTTGGACTTTAAGAGACCCTTCCCTATCCAAATTCTTATTTATTACCGTGTGGATAGAGATTGATTTTTGTTGAAGGGTCTTTATTCAAAGTATTGCATTCAAACAACCAAACTGAGATTTTTGTATATGGTAATAATTTGAAATTGAAGAAAGTTTGACTGAAAAATGCATTGAATTTTGAATATATAAAATAAATACTATAATATTACCCTAAAAGCCAGATGTATCTATTGACCCTTGCCAACATATTCAACACTCTATGGTATCAAGGTTCTATAAAGTCTATCATTTGATGAAAGAATAGAGATCATCCTTGAATTTTGATTGATGGTATAAAGTATTTTTATAGTTGTTTAATTGGTGGTGTTTGTGATATGGTATATATATTTTTGAAATCAATTCGGTTATATCATATTCTTTTGTATCTAGATGTTTTTAAAATTTCAGTTTAGATGCATCTAGATCAATATATCTTACTATGATTTTCAATTTCAGTTCTATATAGTTACTTCTTTGTGTTTTTATATATATGTTCGATTACATTCTAGCAAAAGATCTTGCGAAAAAGCCAAATCTATTGTTAAATGGATTATGTGAAAAAAAAACTCTATTCTGATTCATTAACCTGAAATCTCCGATGCAGTGGCAAGCACTCGAAGTCGTCCCCAAAGACAAGTACCTTGCCGTCGCTGATTAAGATTCGAGTCCATCTCCATCCTGAAACTTGGACAGCTTAAGGTTGTAAGTTATATTATATTCCTGTTTTGTAAGAATTTGAATTTCCTTAGGGTTCAATGTGAAGCATTTTTTTTTTTTCGTGTGAAAATTGTTAACCGTTTTGGCGAAAATTTGAATTTATGATCTCATCATCTTTACTATAAGTGGAAATTTTACGTACTGTCATCCAAGATCTGCAAGAAAATCATAAGATTTTAACGTCAAAATATATCTGAGAATACAAAAGAATACGACAGGGATTGGTCTTGGGGTTTAGAATTGCGTAAAGATCATTAGACATCTTGAGTGTAGGGGCCATGTTAAGAGCAATTTTAAGACATAAGTTGCTGACTTAGTTTAGCCTAAAGAGCAAAGGTTGAGGAGATAAATGTTGTCAAGACATTCTCATGCTTGAATAAAAAATATATTATTTTCCTTGAAAGCATGAATGAACATCTTGACTATATGTTTCTCCTGATCAGCTGGGGATCTTAGGCTAAACCAAGTCGGCCACTTCTGTCTAAACTTGCTCTTGACATGACCTGAACACTCTAAGTTTTCTTATGATCTTCTCGCTATGCTCAAACCCAGAACCGCAACTTGTTGTACTCTTTGCATTCTTAGATTTATATTGACGTTCATTGATTTGGTCTGGCTTGAATTGAGGAGTGATGTGCAAATTCTCCAGGACAGCGTCTTGAAAGACCAACTTTTTTTTTTTCGAGAATAAGTAAGATCTTAAAGAAGAGTTTTTTTAAGAATGTTTCATCTAAACCTAATTTACCATTATGGTTTGTTGTATCTAAGAGCAAAGGTAAATTTCATATAATTATGTTAAACTAACATTGTTTACAAATAAATGTCTCTCCGGTTTCAAAACTCGAGTGCTCTTATGAAAAAACAGTTTCATTTGATCTCTAACATCCTCTTTGGGGCAGAACTTAAGAACAGAGCTTCTGTCTGCTTCCCAAATCAGATAGACAATAAAAGACTGCTAAATCTTTGTTTCTTGATAAGCTTCTCTTTCCTCCACGAAATTGTGTTCAGTACTCTTTCTCTTTGTCTCTGCTTTTCCCTTCATCTTTATCTGTCTATGTCTCTCTGAGAAGAGGCCTGAAGATATGTTGATTTGCCATACTCAAAATCCCTAAATCTCTTAGCCTCAGTGAACACAATTTCATGGAGGAAAGAGAGCAGTAAACACACAACATTACCCCAAACTGAGAAGAGGTTTTATGCATGCATGGTTTGTGGTTTGATCATATCATAACATTCTGCAAGTACAACCTTTTGATCTTGTAGCCATCAAGTGGCTTGAACAAAACACTGTCGCGCATCTGCTGCAGAGAGTATTTAGAGTTCCAGTTTGAGACGGAAACAGATATCTTATTGTTTGATATCAAGAACACAGCCAGACATGGCTTGGGGAACTAATGAGGTAACCAATACCATACACACGAATGTGGTTTTTCCAGAGTGTTCTAGACTTGGACTTGCAAAGATAGTAATCTCTGCCCAAAAATAGTGTCTCAGTTATCCAAATTTTAGATGTTACAGGCTCAACAGCTTAGCGCTCAACCTGGAGAGCCACCACTGGAGGAGATCTGTTGAGAATCATCACGCGATTCTCTCTAGATAATCTCCATAAACTTGGGTTATTCCCTGCGTTTTCTGTCTGTACTCCATATTTGTAGGCGTAAGTTACATTTACTGGCCCATTGGTGAAAACAATTGAGTTCCCACTCACACCACATCCACCAGGAAGCTCCTTAGCTGAGCAAGAGAAATTCCCCAGCTCTCCAATAAACAATACACGGTCTCCCAAATCACTGACCACAACCCATTCTCCAGCCTCCTCATCTAGCTTCCTCACTCTACATAGTAACCAAAAAAAATTTGATTCACCATTTCTTGGTATGGTTTTCTCAACCAGGAAAAGCTCATCATCGCCCGATGGAACTAGATAATTACATGTGTTCGGAGGCTGAGAGGGCATTAGGGGAGTCACTTCAAGCGAATAAGGATCAATAACGAAAATTTCCCCATTAAGAAAGACTGCATAAAATCTACCTCTAAAAGTGAACAAATCCCAACATGAACCATACGAGAATTTCTTAAGCCGTATCCACTTCATTTCAGCACTTCTCAACACCAACAAAACTTTAGTATAGTTAAGGAGCACAACAAACTCTCCTTCTTTGTTTAACGGAAGAAAAGCCACGCCTCTGTAAGCCGATGTCCATGCTTCAGGATCCCAACCAATCATTCTGTACTGATGTCCGAGAGGAAGGACCTGGCAGTCAAGCATATTCATCGAAGTTCGCTTAGATCCTCGAATCTTCACTTTCACTGAACATTGAAGGGGAGACGAAACCTCCATATGATTCTCTGACTCATCCCTACCTATATCTCCATGAAAATACTCACAACGCGACGCAGCATCAATATCTCGGACTCTAAAGAGAAACAAAGGGATCTTCTCAAGAATGCACAAGTCTCTGCTTTGGTAAGGGAAATCAGCAAAATTGGGAAGAGAGTAACTTGGACGTAACAGGGAAGAAGGAAACGGAACTGTGGATCGCCACGAGCTACAAACAGAGCGAACATGAACAACTTCAAAACAGTTCTCAAGATACGTCAAGATAAGTTGCAGTAACTCTCCAGGGAGAAGAGACCACTGTGGCATGGTCATTGCCTTCTCTTCCGTTGAAGGTTGCAACGATTCCGCTGAGGGAGACGGAGACAGCTGCAACTTCGAAACCTACAAGAAAACAAAAATTAGAATTTGACTAATACACAACACAAAACTGCGAATAAACAGCAAAAACGATTTTTTTACACAATCGAGAAGTGAGCAGTCTAAGGATGATGATTTATTCTTCTCCATTACAGGTTCCGCCATGTTTGCTGATTGATACAATTTGATGAAAGAACAAACTAAGCTTTATCATTGATCATATGGAAGAACAGAGAATCGAATTCAATTACAGAATTGAAGGTGGAGAAAGAGTACGTACCCTAATATCTGGATTACGTGGTTAGAACCCTAAAAATCACAGAGACGTCGAAGAAGTTGTAACCAATCGGAAAATTTCGGATCAAATTGAGAAACTTTTTGGCACCAGAAGGCGAAAACGCATTCTTAGCCCCGCCCGGTCATCGAGTCGGGTTGACTCAACGAGTCTAATTCAGGATTTTGGGCCTGATTGAGCCCACTAACCCAGTTCGTTTACATGGAAGGAAGAAACCAAAAACACGTTCACAAAATTACACTAAGCTGCTGATGTTCTTCATGTTTAAGGTCACCAAATCTATAAAGAATTTAATACAATTTAGAATTTGAAAATTCTATCTATATAGTATTAACTTGAAAAGTGTTTTATGTTTTCTAATTTCGTATCTTTTATTTGTAAGTCTTAACTTTACGTAAATTATTGTTTATTATTATTATTTTTAATCTAATTATAGGCTGTGAATGGTTCTTTAAAGTTCAATGGATTGAAAATTTTAAGATGGAAAATTTTGAGTTGAATTCATCTCTAAAAATGTAGTTGAATACTTTTTGCTAGTAATTTGTACAATTTTTCAGTCTTTTAAGTTGAATTGACTGAATATGTTTTTCAACTCTTTCATCTTAAATGGTAAAAAATAACCTTGGTATTTTGTGTCAACCATTTGCAGTCATAGATTTCCACGGATATGTCTTTTTATGAAATTGCATATGTTCAATTTTTTTACATCAATTGCAAATGTTCATTTGAGCGTGTCTTTTTATCCATATATTTTTTACATTTAGTATTCATATGATTAAGAACCAAATCTAGCATTCAATCGATTTAAAAGATATGGATACAGAATACTCTACCATTATAACTTCAATATGGTTTATGAAACCGTTGCCGGCGATGCAGTCTTGTTTTTGCAGATCTACAAATCTAAAAGGCGATGTCTCGATATGGTGTCCTCGCAACCATCAACACTATATTTTGATGGTTAATGAAACCGTTGAGGCCAATCGATTCTTCATAGTTGGAAGGCCATCAAATCTAAGGCATTAAAATCTCATACTTTGGAGACAATCAGATGTACTTTCACTACAACAAATGAACCCTGGGTTAATACCAAGAGTAAAAAATATATATTAATATTGTTAGCATCCGATCACTGTCATTAAAAGTCATTGATAGTAAATTTTCAAACGCTATGTTTGCGCCACCTATAATAAGTCGCACACATATTATAGCGTTTTTCTAATCCTATGATATTTTTCATATTTAATTGCGTTGGTTTTGACTTGCTATGATATTTTATTACTTTCAATAGCTTTATTCTTTGACGCTATAGAAGTTTTATGATAGCGTTGATGTAACGAGCTATTGTTTGGTCAGTTTTACGATAGCTTTTTATATTAATGCTACATATTGCTTTATTATTATAGCATTGGTTAGGTGCGGCATATTGTTTCGTTGTAGCTTTTTTCTATGCTATAGTAATTTATGAGTAATGCTATGCAATATGGCTTTTTCACAGTTTTGATACAATCAAAAAACATGATACCACAACATGATTATCAAACAAGTCTCAAACCAACATTACATTACCAATCCAACAATTCATTAACAAATTCAAATTCATCATTCAAGTCACAATACAAATAGAAAAAGTACCAGAGTAAACCTGAGTAGTTTAACATAATATAAAATTCTCCTTTGGCCATGCAATGGCAGTTCCAGAGCAACTTTTTTTGTAGTGTTTGGAAAAAAACCTTCATGGAAACCACCATGGAGATACATACAATTTGAGGATGAAGATGTAATGTCACTAAGTAATTATCTACGGATAAATAAGACGATATCATAGAAGAGTCAAGTTTGATAATCAAGTCAAACAACATTCAGTTTCAGTTTATTAATCAAGGTTATGTTATGCCAAAAGCATTTTGGAGTTTCATCGAGAAGATGATACCCATTTACGTGTATATAAAAAGAGGACTTAACAAATATTTTATGTTAGTCTATAAGGCTTTTGATTCGAAAGTATGGTCACTTCCATAATTGCAACAAAATTGTTTTAAGTTTCATTTATTTGTGACAATGGTTGTATTTATATTTAATTTGTTTTTGTATTCTGTTATTATATATCAGTATGGTGTTTTAAAAATAAAAAAAAACTTCAATACGGTTATGTAGTCTTCAACATATCACAGTCGCACTAGACAAACACTCCACAACCCTGGGTTACAAAATATACATACAATACATAATATCAAAGGATAAGGTTGCTTGTGAACTAATCAAAAAAAAAAAACCAACAGTATGCCTCAGGTATTCAAAAGCACGATTTTCATCTTGACACTCAACTCGAAGAGCCACAACCGAAGATCTGTAGTGGATCATCTCACAGTTCTCTCTTGAGAATCTCCAAAAATTGACATCTTCTACTCCCCTTCCCGTATGAACTCCACATTTGTAGGCAAAAGTTACATTGCCTCCATTAGTGAACAAAATTGAGTTCCCATTCACACCACAACTGCTCCTTAGCTGTTCAAAAGAGATTTCCAAAGTTTCCAATAAAAAACAAGCGGTCTCCCAAACACTGACCTCAATCCATTTACATCTTAGCGCTCAATCCGGAGAGCTACAATAGGAGGAGATGTGCTAAGAATCATCACTTGATTCTCTCTAAAGTATCTCCAAAAATTGAGGTCGTCTTCAGCGTTTTCTGTAGGTGCTCCATATTTATAGGCGTATGTTATATAGCCGGGACCATTGGTGAACAACAATGAATTCCCACTCACACCACAACCATCAGGAAGCCTATTAGCTGAGAAAGAGCAATTTCCCAAATCTCCAAAAAACAACACACGGTTTCCTAAATCGTTGACCTCGACCCATTTGCCAACTTCCTCATCTAGCCTACTTACTTTGCATGCTAGCTTGTGAAAACTTATTATACCAGTAAGAGGAATGATTTTCTCAACCATGAAAAACTCATCATTACCACATGGAACTAGATACTGGGAATGGTTATGAGGTGGTGTAGGTAACAAGGGAGTAGCTTCCAGCGAATAAGGATCGATAGCGAACATGTCCCCATTCATATAGATTGCATAAAATCTACCTCTAAAAGTGAATAAATTTGAGCATGTACCAGTTGAGAGTTCTTCAAGCCGGTACCACCTCATTTCAGAACTTCTCAACACCAACAAAACTCTAGAGTAGTTGAGGAGCACAACGAAGTCTCCTCCACCATCCTTGTCTAGTGGAAGAAAAGCCACACCTCTGTAATCTGTTTTATGTGATGCAGCATCCCAACCGATCATTCTGTACTGATAACCCAAAGAGAGAATCTGACAGTCGCGTATGTTTATCGAGGTTGGATCAAGTCCTGGGATCCTCAGTTTCACTGAACACTGAACGGGAGATGGAAACACCATATGATCATCTGAGTTATCACGGCCGATGTCTCCTAGAAAATACTCAAAATGTGATGCAGAAGGAGGAGTTAAGACTCTAAACAGGAACACAGGGATCTTCTCGAGGGTGCAGAAGTCTTGGCTTTCATCGGAGAATGCGGGAAGATGATATTTTGGGCGTAAGAGGCAAGAAGGAAAGGGGAAGATGGATCGCCATGAGGTGCAAACAGAGCGAGCATGAACAACATCGAAACAGTAGTCATCGTCCTCAAGATACTTGGCAATAATGTGCAGTAGCTCTTCAGGGAGAAGTGACCAGTCTGGCATGGGACATGTCTGCTCTTTAGTTGCTGACATAGACGAAGATGGCTGCAATTTTGAAAGAAAAAAAAAAAACGAAATTGGATTGACAGAGAACTAATATGGCTTTAACAGCAAATCAATTATCCAAATCATATATTTCACCAAAATCAAAAATTTCTAAACTCGTAGGTGTCCTCAGAAATTAAAGAAGAAAAAAAAAAAAAAGCTCTTACACAATCGGAATTATGCATAGATGATGTCGTCTCTTCCGATTTTAGCTTCTAGGGTTTTAAGGGAAACTGGAAACGAACATGAACATGGAGTATTATTGATTGTGACAAAACATTCTACTACTTAAAGACGATAACAGGAATCTTATTTTCTGCATGCATAAACATAACCACAAGAACAGAGTATCAAATCCAGTTTCAGATTTTAGAAAGAAAGAGATAGATTATTTAAATTCGTACCAAAAGGGGGAGAATAAGTCTCGAAAATTAGAACCCTAAAATTTCACAGTGAACAATGGAACAGGTCGATTTATCAGCCGATTTGACGAGGTAAGCGAAGAAAACACATTAGATCGACACAATGGGACGGTTCGTTTGTTGAGTAAGCCTGCGGTTTATACCTAAACCTATTGGTCCGAACCAGACCGGACCGGTTTTTGGTTTTCAGATTAGCAATCAGTTCAGTCTGGAGGGATTTTGAATTACGTTCGGTTCAGTAACCCTATTTCTTTAGTTATTTTAAAAACCAAAATTAAACCGATTTGAGCAAAAATATATATTGACACAGACTGACTTTACCGATTTTATTCGATTTAATCAGTTTTACCCGGTAAAATCTCACTAACCGGAATAAACTAAGGACCGGAAAATTATCCCGGTTGAGAGGAGCATCCCTATCAAGAGTTTGGATTCTTAGAGCAACTCCAATGCAAGTTTTTTAGCAAATTTCTAAGAATTAAAAAGAGAAAAAATAAATAAAAAACATGTAATAAGTTAAGAAATAGTTTTTGCTAAGAATTTTTGAAATAGTTTCTTAGATACATGTGTCTACTTATGATTGAGTGGAGGAAAAAAAGAAAAAAAAAACAAATTTTGTGATTATTTAAAATGTAATGTTTAGTAACTTATTAAAAACTTTACCATTGGAAAGATAAATTTTACATAAGTTTTTAGTTTCAATTTTTGTACTTTTTGTAATTAGAATATTACCAACATACTTGTTAAAAGATTTACCATTAGAGTTGGTCTTATTGGGTTCTACCAAAGTACTAAACGCATAAGGACCGTGGCTTGCAGTGATTGGCTGATGAAAAAATAGAAAATGAAAAAAAAAATCATTTTTTCTTCAATTTTTTGGTTAATTGATTAATTTTGATTAGTTAGTTTAATCATAATTATATTAGGCAATTAATTTTAAGCATCCATTAGACCATTAGTGATTTGCTTGAGTGGAGATGCTCTGATAGTTCGAGACTGTAAAATAACTAAAGCTAAGTCTGGGTTATTTACACGATGACCAGATATTAAACTACAATGTTTTGTACATTCTTCTGTATCCATATGGGCATAGACAGGAAGTAGCTTATTCTAGATAGAGTATGCATCCATACAAAAAGTTACAAGTAGCTACTAGAATGTCTAAATCACACAACAAAGGCAACTTAAAGTGACCTCTTCACACACACACACACAAAAAAAATCATTTCAGAAATGGAACTTATCAGTAGTTAATAACATTGATTCATGCAATTCAATAACCTTAAAAGCATTTTCAGTTGGTCTCTGGTTTCACCTTGGAACAAAACTTAAGAACAGAGCTTCTGTCTGCTTCCCAAACCAGCTCCAAGATGACTGACTCTCCTATCTTCACACCGTTGGCGTTGCAGAACTCTTTCCAACCTCCTTTCAATCTCATTCTCTGGCGTTTCACCTCAAAGGACATTTTGGTAGACCACTTCACGCCGTGTTTATCCAACAGACTCATCTTCTTTGCCTTTTTTATGCCATTAACCCTTGTGAAAGGTATTGGAAGAGTCTGAGAGAGATTCAAACAAGGAGGGAAAGACAAGTATGAAAAAACTGATAAGACCTGTAAAAAAAGAAACTTAATGCCATTGGTGATGAAACTAACCAGATTAGATTCTCTGAGGTTGTAAGGTGTAAGGGTCACCGTCACAAAACGGTTTTGAGATGGTGACAAAGAAGGTTTCCATATCAGTGTACTCTTCACTACATTAGCTTCTGATAAGCCATCTTCTTCTTTTATCTCTCTGGGGGATAGACGTAACAAACCAAGACTCCTTCCTCTTTGGATCAGTTTGAAAGTGAAGAAACTTCCAGCTCTAAGTCCATTAGCCTGACAGAAACTTCTCCATCCCCGTTTGATGTACGTAGCTTCGCATGATGTCTTTTGCTTCAAATCAACAGTCCATGATCTTCCCTTTTCATTAATCAGGATTATTTCCCCACATCTTTTGTCTAGACCATTTGCTCTCACAAAACTCAATGGAAGATTCTGGAAATTCATTACAATACAACATGAGTTTTATCTAATTCAGACCCTAGTATAAGAGTTTCTGTTCGTGTTCAAGAAATAAAAGAGTTAGAATACCAGTGAGTCAAAACGTAGGTTCGAAGTCGTGACTTTAGCCACGAAACAAGAGAGATCTACTGAAGATGTTGCTTCTTTCTTTTTGCTTTGAATCTTCCCTGAAAAAGAAGAGACCAAACCCAACTAATATTAGTTTAACAGTAACACTTACAAATTCGTAACACTAACTGATACTGAAATAATACAACTTACCGAGGTTGTTCTGGTTGTGCAATGACGGCACATACTGACAACAACTAGGTCCCAACATTGTCACGTGGAAACTCATGTCTCTCTCTAGTTTAAAAACAAGGATGTCGCCAATTCGAAGATCATGAGCGAGAGCAAACTCTTTCCAACCACTTGTGAGTCTCTGGCCATCTATTTTCACTTTCCATGTTATTTTGGATACATCTGACCTTAACTCTGCTGCCATCTGTTCATTTCTTCCTCCTATATTCTTCAAGAAGAAAGCCACAGGAATAGTCTGAAACAAGATGCAAATACATAACCAGAAACATTATTATGCTCAATGAGCTTCTCAGAAGGACAGGAGACAAATATCGAAGAAGGAAAAGAGAGAAAGAGAAAGGTTACCAAGAAGCTGTGAAAGCCAGGAAGAAGAGGCTTGAAGAAATGTTGATTCGCCATTATCAAAGCTTCTAAATCTCTCTCAACCTTAAAACTCAAAGAGGAAAGAGTGTAGTAAACACAAAATATAAACACGTAAGGCTTTTTTTGTTTTGTTTTTGAACTAGAGACTGTTTGGTTTCCCACTAGTAAACACTTCTCGGAAGTTGGAACTCGAGAGCTTAAAAAAATAAATAAAACCATCAAGTAATGATTAATATGTTGTTTATAATCATATATCTATTCTTCAGTTTTTTTTTTACTTTTCTTTATATGGCTTTGATATGGAGGAAGCACCTGCTTCTTCATCTTTTGTGTGGCCTTAGGTTGGCTCAAAATCTCCAAGGCATCAATAGAAGACACACATGACCCGTTTCAATACCCTGCAATGTACAGACTTGTAAATTTGCAGAGTGGCTTGGAACATCTCTGCAAGTTGAGTTTCATATGATTTTGGAATTTCTTTGAAAAGCCTTTGGTAACTTGGGAGAGTCTTGGTAAAACACAGGCCCATGTGATACCAAGTACACGGCCTTGCTGATTGAGCTTTGAGAGTTCATGATACATCAATGGGTAACATCAGAGATCACAAAATATATAAACCTAATATCAAAGGTTAGGGTGCTTGTGATCTAATAAAAACCAAAAGCAAGAGAATGTCTCAGGTAACGATAGCGCGATTTTCAGCTTCGCCCTCAACTCGAAGAGTCACAACCGGAGATGTGTTAAGGACCATCACACGGTATTCTCTTGAGAATCTCCAAATGTTGAGTTCGTCGTCCTCCCTTCCAGTATGTACTCCATATTTATATGCAAAAGTTAGATAGCCTGCATTGGTGAACAAGATTGAGTTTGCAGTCACACCACAGCCATCAGGAAGCTCCTTACCCGAGCAGCAGACATTTCCAAAGTGTCCAATAAACAACACACGGTCTCCCAAATCGCTGACCACAACCCATTTACCAGTCTCTGCATCTAGCCTACTCACTCTACATGTTAACCGATTTAAATTTAGTACCTTGGCGCCAGGAAAGGGGTTGAAACTCACAACGAGGTAAAGCTCATCATCACCATATGGAATCAGATAACTGCTTGAGTGTAGAGGCTCAGAAGGCATCATAGAACTCCATTGCATCGAATAAGGATCGAAACTGAAAATGTCCCCGTTATAATAGGCTGCATAAAATCTGCCTCTAAAAGTGACTAAATCCGAGCATGAAGCATTTGAGGTATTCTTAAGCCACGTCCACCTCATTTGATCACTCTTTAACAGCAAGAAATCACCATACAACGAATTCTCCTCCTCCTCCTCCATCCTTGTTTAGAGGAAGAAAAGCCGCGCCTCTGTAACGTTGTGCATAAACTTCAGTATCCCAATCAGTCATTCTGTACTGGTAGCCCAGAGGTAGGATCTGGCAGTCAAGCATGTTCATCAAGGTTGGATCAGAATCTGGGACATTCACTTTCACTGAACATTGAAAGGGGAGATGGAAGCTCCATACGATCCTTTGACTCAGCTCGGCGTATTCCTCCAAGAATATACTCGGATGGTAACGCAGCAGGAGCTTGGACTCTAAAGAGGAACAAAGGGACCTTCTCCAAGGTACACAAATCTTTGTTTTCCAGAGAGAAATCCACAAACGAGGGAAGAGAGTAACTTGGGCGTAACAAGCAAGAAGGAAATGGAAATAAGGTTCGCCACAAACGGCAAACAGAACGAGCATGAACTACATCGAAACAGTAATCCTCCAGTTCCAGTTTCTGTGAGATAAGTTGTAGTAGCTCCTCTGGAGGCTGAGACCAGTCTGGCATCACCGATGACATTTTCGGCAACGGAACTAATAACAAAAGAAACAAACAGTGTTGAATAAATTTTGCAATACTCTAAAAAAAAAACATATGAGCTTAAGTCCACCACTGCAATACCGAGGACAATGATAAGAGACACATACCTGCCGAAATCGAAAGATTAAGAACACTGAAGAAACCAACGATGGAGAAGAAACTTGAAGATCTCAGCGGCTGATTGTTGCGTTAGAAGAAATGGATTTAGGGTTTAGCGAATTCGGGTTAAAATAGATGATTGACCTTTATGTTTTGGGTAGAGTCAGTTTTGGAAAGAGAGAAAGCTATGATGCGTTTTTGAGTATTTGCATTAATATGAGAGTTGTTCATAAGACAATGGAAATGATGTAACATGGCTAGTGGTGTTACAATGTCTTGGGGGAACTTGGAATACAAGAAATAGTCACAAAATGACAGAGATAGAGGTACTAGACATATATACCAAAGATCATATGGCAAGTTTGTTTTGACTTATAATTTCGGAATCCACCCAGAGATGTGTTGTTGGGATCATGATTTTTGCGCTTGAGGATCTCTTGGGGTCTTTTACATCATTTCGGTAGATGACCAGCACATCGAAATCTCTTCCTCGATCCATGTTTAGCAGAAGAAAAGTCACATCTCTGTAATTTGAAGTACAATCTAATGAAGAAAAAAACCAGCACAACGTATACATTAGCGAGATTTTTGGATTAGCACCCAATCCAGAGAGCCACAACGGGAGATCTATTGAAGATCATCACACGATTCTCACTTGACAAACTCCAAAAACCGAGGCTGTCTTCTGCCCTTCCTGTATGTACTCCATATTTGTAGGAGTAAGTTACACTTCCTCCCTCATTGGTGAAGAAGATAGAGTTCCCACTCACACCACAACCATTAGGAAGCTCCTTAGCTGAGCAGCACACATTTCCAAAGTGTCCAATAAAGAAAACACGACCTCCCAATTCGCTGACCACGACCCATTTACCAGCCTCCTCATCTAGCCTACTCACTCTACATGCAAACTGACTAAAATTTAGTTCACCGTATCTTGTGATGATTTTCTCAACCAAGAAAAGCTCATCATCGCCGGCTGGAACAAGATAATTGCTTGAATTCAAAGGCTGCGAGGGCATCAGGGGAAGAAACACTTCCAGCGAATAAGGATCGATTACGACAATATCTCCGTTAAGAAAAGATGCATAAAACTTGCCTCTAAAAGTAACTAAATCCTTACAGGTAGCATCTGAGACGTCCTTAAGCCACATCCACCTCATTTCAGAACTTCTTAACACCAACAAAACTCTAGAGTAGTTAAGGACCACAACAAACTCTCCTCTCCCTCCATTCTTGTTTAACATAATAAAAGCCACACCTCTGTAATTTGTTGACGATTCTTCAGGATCCCAACCAATCATTCTGTACTGATGGCCTAGTGAAATAACCTCGCAGTCTAGCATGTTCATCAAAGTTGGATCAGATCTAGGGACCTTCACTTTCACAGAACACTGAAAAGGAGATGAATTTGAAAGCTCTATACGATCATCTCGACCTATTGCTCCTAAAAAATACTCATCAGCAACAGTAGTTTTGACTCTAAAGAGGAACAAAGGGACCTTTTCGAGTGTACACGAGTCTTTGCTTTCGAGAGTGAACTCCATGAGTGTGGGAAGAGAGTAACTTGGGCGTACCAACGAAGAAGGAAAGGGAAATGTAGATCGCCATGAGCTGCAGACAGAACGAGCATGAACAACATCGAAACAGTTCTTCAGAAGAGTTGAGATAATGAGTAGTAGCTCTTTAGAGAGAAAAGACCAGTCTTTCTTGAACAATGTGAGCTCTTTCGTTGCCATTTTTGCTGATGGAGAAAGAACAAATTAATCGCAGATTAATGGCAATTTGGCAAATTAATCGCGAATTAGGAGCGCTCTGTTTCTAAAGCTTCTACTTGTAGAGAAGAAGATTAATCGCAGATCTAATAGTCATTAGTCAGGTCGGGTTGACTCGGTACGGGTCATTTAATTTAATTTAACTAGCTCTCGTAGTTGGGCCGTTTTAGGCTTTACTATATTCTCTATTTTATGGCCGAATTGGGCTTTGTTATAAACATTTTTCTTTTTTTGTATGAATTAGGCTTTTGATTCTAATTCACAACTCTTAAATATATTTTGTTACACATAAAAAAAAAACATATTTAAGAGTTGTTTTTAAATCAGTTTTTGGGTTTTATTCTGCAAAATCTATTTTATTAGCCATTCATGATTCTTAAAAATATAGATTTTCTAAAAATTATGAAATCCAGATTTTAGAAGATTTTGCTATTTCTTCTTAAAATCCAAAAACCACAAAATGTGGTTTTTTTTTTTTTTTTTTTTTTTTTTTTTTTGCTAAGAATGTAAATATTTCATTAAAAATGAAAATGTTTAGGTTTACAATCATAGATTATAATCCTATAAAAATGGTCTCATGGCAAAAAAGATAAAAACATGGAAGCATAATTCATAAAAATGATCTCAGTCCATCCACTCAACATAGACACGAGGAGTTTGACGAAGTGATAACGATAAAGGTGTTCTTCAGGAGTGCCAAGCTGAAGACGAAGAGCGAGAACAGATTGAAGAAGCCACAATTCTCAAGCAAAAGACGCACTAGAAGCCTTTCAATGGAGGTTCAAGACTAAGCTGTCAACGGCGAAGTTTACAGAGCCCTCGATCACATACGTCCCCGGCATCATGTGAGAGTGGCTCATCTAACAACATCCATGAGCTTTCCTAGAATGAAACCTCACAAACTAAAAACTGCAAACGGTGTGAGCTCCCCCTACCAAGTCCATTCCCCGGAGTCAGCTAGTACAGAGCTAAATACTCATCTTAACACCACACCGTAAGCTATTAGTCTTACTAGCTCCTCTAGCTCACCCAGCAAGCAAAATAACAGGCAGAAACTTTCTGGTACACTAACTTCAACTCACAGCACCAGCAGCAACAAGACACAACCAATATCAGGGCAAAAAGCAAACAACGAAACAAGAAATACCAGTAATACTCACGAAATGGAGATGTTATAAAGAACCACCACCGGTAGCCAAAACATCCCAAAGCAGCAACACCGGAGCTCCTGAAAAGCTCAAAAAGGAGCAGCCAAGACAATAAACAATGCCCAACGCGTCAAAAAGGACACTCTCCTACAAGATATGCTGCTGTCTTCAGACATATTTGACCAACAGAGAAGCGTCCAAACGATCGCCGAGCCTTATTGTCGAGAAAGAAGACCTAAACTGAAGCTTACTAGAAGCATTGTCAAGAAAACCTATCCGAAGGAGAGAAGCTAGAGTGGTGAGGCTTCGACATCTAAACGAGACGAAGTGATAAGCCGAGAAAAACAAACACGACTCGCTCCGAATCAGACATCGAATCCACTCGCAAGGCTAAGCTCCAAAGGACGAGATCGAACCACACGGTGAAGACAGAGACTGCAAAACGTCAAGAAACAAACGCCGTCCTCAAGCGAAATAGACCGTTTGATATGCCGTCTAATCACCGGTTAATGTGGGTCGAAACACGGCGATCTCCGAAGCGCAGAGCTAAGGAGTAATAGAAACCGTTGAAACACGGCAGATCGTCACCACAGCTGTAGCAAAACCGCCGAGAGGTGTTTGGTCCGCCGCTAGGAATCAAAGAGGTGGAGCCAGATCTACAAGTAGATCTCGCCGGTCGAAATTGCGTGGCGAAGAGAGAGGAAATCAAACTCCGTCGTCGACTAGCGAGAGGGGTCAAAACGGAGGAGCACCCATCCACCTCGAGAGGCCGACACGCACGGCGGAGCTCCAACCAAAGCGCCGCGAGAAATCAAGACAAATTCCTGAAACAATCGAGAGCTTCATGCGCAGAACCGAAACGACAAGCAAACAAACAGAAGCAAAAGAGCCCTCTCACGGCGTCGGTCGCAACCGAACACCGGAGAGGCAAGCAAGATAGCGGCTGGTGAAAACTTTCGACGATTAGGTTTTTGGCAATCGCCGCGCGTGACTGCTACCGTTTTTATTTTTATAACGTGAATTGATATTCTTTTTCTATTTTTCATTTAATTACAAAATCTGTAAATGATAAACCAAAATCTATAATCTAAAAACCAAAAACCATAATCCAAAAACCACTAAAAATATTTGAAACATTAATGGCTAGTGTATTTTCCTGAATAAATTTAAAGAATTATGCAAAATTAGTTCCACAACTCTTAAATATGTTTTTTTTTTTGTTTTTAACAACAACTCTTAAATATGTTATAAACATTTTTTCTATGATAAAACTCTGTTTTATTACAAACCAGTTAAATACAGGTTTACATTTATTTTGGTATATGAATAAGAGTGTATATATATATAAATCTTTGAAAAGTGTTGGGAGCTCATCAAAGTTTCAGCTGGCCACATCCTCTCAACGATCCGTAAAGATGTTGAGAGTTTCTAAAACCAATAATGTCTTCGATTTCTATGGATGGTGATACAACTTTGTCTTTGTCAGATGCCATTTCCTTTGAATGCTGGTTTCCGTAAACGCATACACTCAACGATTTCTTTTTCGGTGCGTCGACCTTTACGTATTCGTCGAAGAAATCTATTAACTCTTCCTTCTTTAGCTCTCTCAGTGCAGCCACCTGAAAAACCATAAAGCATAACACAAAGGGATATATGTTATTTGGCTTCAACTGTCCAAAAAGGAGGACTTAAGGAGCATGAAATTATGGAAGCGGTTTGTCGATTACCTCTGCATCTTTGCGGTTAAATTTGAGTGTTCCGTCTTGAATCTCTCCCCAGTAAAACCACGATTCCTCGCTCAAGTTCTTGTGTTTCTCAAGCTTCATATCTATCAACGTTGTTACATTGCTCTGGAAAGAAATTCATGTCAGTTAGTGCATTAATGTTTAATCACATTACATTCTAAAATATCTTGTTGTGTTATCTCACCTTGAATTCTTCATTGCTCATATTGTAAAGTTTACTCTCAAGGTCCTTGAGTAGAGACTCGACCCTCGAATCAATATGTCCAGGACCCTGTTAACAATAAATTCAAAAGCAATTAATTAAAGACATATGTATGCAAAATCTGTGTGGCAAGAAAGATTGGTAGTTTGGTACCTTGACTGAAGATTGGATGATGAAATGTAGACCATAGACACCAGAGTCGTTTCTGAATCGCAGGAATGTACTTATGCGTCAACAAGAACTCAGTAACAGTCAAACGTATGAGAAATTAATTCTTATGTACCTTTGAGAAAGTGAAGTAATGTAACCAAGTTGCTCAACTGATCTAAGCTGGTGAAAAGTGGCTTGCTTTGCAATAAGTTCAAAAATCTGAAGTTTGATATTCATGGAAAATTCATCTTGATGAACCTGTTCATGGCGAACCAATTCCGTTAGCAAGAAAACCAAGGTTTAGAAGAGACCTGAGTGTAAGTACTAAACACTACGAGAAAAGGTTTACAAGTACCAAACCTGAGTATACCGCTATGTTCAAAGGCAAACTAATAATCTTGACACAAATATACCTGAATGTAATGAACTAGAGCCGAATTTTCATCGCTGGGGTTCGAGCCTTCTTGATGGTAGAAGTACTTCATGCATGTACTGAGCTCTACAACCCTATTTGTCAAGAACTGGGATGGAAACAACGGACGACAAATAGGTTTTGGTTCGTTAAAGAGAACATCTTCGATATGCTTAACCATTGACTCAGCTTCGTTCTTGTCAACATTTCCTGAAATGAATGTCTTATATTATATGAAAAAAGGAGTAAAGACCAAATACTATCATACAACATGGGTAATGTTGATACCTGCTATATAGCACTCAACAAATGTCCTTGATAACAACATTGGAACGAACTTAGCCAAGTCTTCAGCTTCCAAATGAGAAAGTGTATCTAGTTCCTCTGTCCAAGGCCAAGAGTGTTCTTGTAATATTATCGAGCAGTAACTCATTGCTTGATGATATGGTTGCCAGAATTTGTGGTTTCGGTATGCCTTTGTGATCGTTTCCTGTTTCAAGATAGGGAAGGATAGAAATATGGATTCAATAAATCTGGTAACAAGCTTATTGTACAAACTCCAAAAAGAAGAGTTATTATGCTACTTAAGAACAAATCTACTAACAAGATTACCTTAATAACTAAAAACCTGTCAGGTTTTACTCCGAATTTTGCTATCTTTTGAATGACAGCTTCCAGCAAGATTCTCAATTTGTGATTAAAGCCAGAAAGATAGAGCTGGAAATGAGAAACAGTTAGTCAAACATGAAAAATCACTGAGCAAAAGACATAAGAAAAATGTCAAAAGAAAATTATACAAACATACCTCAAAACCATTGTCCGAGAGACTTATTCCATAGCGAAGACCAGCAATTCGAGCATAACAAGCTGAAACATCAAAGTACAGATTGATCGAAGATAATAACAAATAACACCATAGTTGAAAAGGAAATAACCGAAAGATGTGTGTCTCTATATATCAAATCTTACCATATTCATTCAAATAGTCCGTCAGCAACCAAACAAACATATTTGAAAGAACTACAGCATCGGGAGAGGTGACTGCAAGGGGGCAGTTAAATTCCATCTTAACATATGCCTTCGGTTTGAAGAACTTTGTATCAGGTTTATACCACAATCTTGAGAATGATGTCTCTCTCAACAAAACAGGAAATATCTCCTGATCCATAATTTGGTTATGTGACATAAGATTTCTGTTTCACACATTAAACTTTAAATGTTTGTTGTACATTGTAACTAAAGTGATAGAACTAAACCTTATCCTTAAAATCCTTCAATGAAAAATCTGTAGGAATGAAGACATTAGGTGTTGGTAGAAGCAGGTTTACATCAGGGGAAGACTGAACCCACTCCTGTAATTGTTAACAAAAACCAAAACTGAACTTCTTCTTATAGGAAAATATTAAATCAAAACAGAATATAAATGCAGAGGAAAATAAACATGCAATTATATAATATGATCTTCAGGAAACTAATATATCAAAATCCAACCTGAATGGTGAATTTGGTTATCTTCTCAAGAGAATAATCAGTGTTATACCATGGCTCAACCTTGTTTGTTTTCCCTTCAAATTTAGTTGATTCCCAAAAGATTCTACATAAATAATGGCACTAGATTATGCAACATGACAAGATTTTGATGCTTCGTGTAAACTCTACGAAACACATTGTTCAACATACCGAACATTACTGGGAGAAAGCTCATCGAAAACCTTTTCAACACTAGCTGGATTAAATTTACAAGGCAGTGATGATCCAACCAGCCAATGCTTCATTGGGTATATCTGAAGCAATCATTTCCAAAGGACACATAAGAGTTTTTTCTTTTTTCAAGTGAAATTCATAGCCACAATACCGAGTTTCTTAGTAGTGCTTGATGAGATTGTAAGAGTAAGCATATAAGTCCAAGTATAGACTGAGCAGAAATAGATTTCACAGCTGAAAATAGTTCTAGTACCGTCATATTCATTGAAATACACGTCGCATACGAAATTGCGTGTGTTTTGGCTTTGTAATGAAACTCTGCCTCAGAGATAGCTGAGAGCTGCAATAACAATGATTCAATAAGAGTACTAGCTAGCTAGATTAAAAGCAGGCAACAGCAGAAAAAAATAGAAACAGTAACTAAATACCTCATCGAAAATCCACTGAGAAACACCAGACTGTTGTAAATGCTTAATGTATATGAACAACAATCCCAAAATATCTTCCATGTGCTCTGTATACAAAGAACATAAACAAAGCACCAAAAACTATCAGGTACTGACTACACAGCAGGCAAAACATTACCATCGATTCAACATATAAGAGATTGTTGCGAGCTTGCATAGACTATAAATTAAAATAAAAGACCTAAGAAAAATACATAAACCCACCATGGCCAGTATCAGTAAGATCAATTATAACATTGAAGAAAGAATACTCCATAGTCCAGTTTCTCTCGCCAGCATACAGTCCTGTTGCCCAACCTGTGGAAGTATTAAGAAGAATTAAACTAGATTACTAAATAAAGAACTGTTGATACAAAAAAATTTACTAGACGGCCTAAATAAGTTATCTCTAATATTCACAAATTTCTAGTGACAACCTATCTTCTAAAAAAAAGTAAGATAAAATTTAAAACCCAGAGATAGAGAGCTGAAGACTACAACAATTTTTCGATCCATTATTGCGAGCCAAAACATATATAATTAGTTTGGCCCTTAAAGAAAACCTACCAAGGATTTTTAACGTATGAAACAAACTTCCTTCTCCTTCATGACCAAGTAGACGCCCAACGTACATGGCTGGTGCTTCTTCATAGTGATGGATGGTAGGAGTTATAGGCCAAGAAACAGTGAGCTTGTGACCCTGCTTTATGGGAACAGCCTTCACAAGAACCTAAAACCAAATGAAAAACACAGCCTTAGCAACATGTTAGCATGAATATGTCTTCATTTCATATAAATGCTATAGTTGAAATAATGAACAAAACCTGTAAATGGTCATGAGTACACGGCTGACCAGGAAACCTAGGGATATCTTTGTTGGTGTTTCGAATTTCCTGGAACAACTCTTCCACTAGGCCTTGAGTTTTATCAAGGCATTCTGAAAAAAATCCAGAGCAAAACAAAAAAATGTACAAATGTTAAGTATGTTAATACTTTTGTTTTCTGAAATTAAAAGAATTTTTGCTTAGCTCCAAAACCTACCTTTGCCATATATAACCAAATGCATAATGTTGGCAGAATAGTGTTCATCATAGAATTTGATTAGTTCACTTCTTGTATCTATTCCTTTTGCTTCGGGTCGTACATGAAGAGTATCCATGTTACCTAATCAAAGTTATCACTTTCTTAGCATTGAGAGAAAAAACAATTAGTAAAGACCATGCACTGATGTTTCCTAATGGACGCAAGCCAGCATCAATTAAGGATAGATAATATTAGAACATGAACCTGTGTTAAATTTGTGATATGGATGGTCTTCTCTACTTAGATGCTTCTGTAACTGTGTCAACGTAAAAGAAAGACAATGCTAAGTTAGATACTATATAAATACATATCAAGAGACTTGTGGAATTTAGATATAAAGTACTACAAGTTCAAAGAAAAAACCTTAGTGTTCATACTTAAAATAATCTACTTTTCCTTTCTATGAAATAAACATATTTAACCATATAACTGTTCTTTAGAGCAAGGGAACATACCTGGTTCATACGCCAAGGATCAGACAACAAGTTTTTCTGATTCTCTGCATGAAAGAGATCGACCTCATTAGATTTACCAAACAGATCTCAAAAGGAGAGCTATCAAGAACGTGTAAAGCTAACCAGAGTCGACAGCCTTTATCTCTCTCATGGTGGCATCAGCAGACATCAATGGTTTGATAAAGAACTGTGCAAACCTGGTCATAGCAATCACTAGTAAAATTAGACACAGTCAAAAGGCTTCATCGATCAAGAGAGAAAAAACAAAAACAAAAGAACCTGTCCAAAGCTTCATCAAAAGAATCTGTATTGATATCGAAATGGTAATTTGTATCTTCACTGGCTGTATAAGCATTTCTGCTCCCTCCATGCTACATAAAAAAAAACAGAGTTACAATAAGCACTAAGCACATCCCTAAGTTTCTTACAACTGATGCAAGAATGATCAAGTTTGTGTTCCAAAGCTGGAGAAGAACATTACCTCTGCTATGTACTTGGAGTAACCATCTTCCTCTGGATACTTTTCACTTGCATAAAATAGCATATGCTCTGAATCATCACCATAAAAAAAAAAAAAAAAAAAAAAAAAAAAAAAAAAAAAAAAAAAAAAACCCGCCAGCACAAAATCAGATGTTATATATACAGGAAGCAAATCACTAAAAGAAACTGGGATAGGAAGTAGTAGTACCAAGGAAATGAGCTAGGCCTTCCAAACCGTCCGGGTCAGAGAATGATCCAACGCTAACATTCATCGAAGCAGCACACTAAAAAAAGCAAAAGACAAGTAGTAACATGTCATAAAATGTTCAGAACCAAAGCAAGTTATAGTGTCTCGTGTAAAGATTTTTACCAGTTGAGCTATTACCATCGAGCTGAGCTTACCTTGTCAGTCTCAGGGTCACTAATTAACAACACCTCGAGCGAATTCTTAAGTACAATCCTCCGATATTCTCTGTTATCGGTTCGCGGCTTTAGTATCTCTTCAGCTCCATCAACCGCCGCCTTCTCTGTTCCAACAGCCATCTTCTCCGATTCAGTTACTTTGGGATACTTTTTTTAAGTCTACGCTGAGTCTTCTTCGCTCTTATATATATGAAATGTCGTCTTCTCCGAAAACTTCAGAGACTGTCGTAGACTTAACGTATGATTAACTATCAACGGTGCATGTTTCTCAAAGTATTACAGATCCAACGGTGATTACTTGTGATAGTTATAGTCTTCGCTAGTCTCTGAGTCTTCGCTAGTGATCTTTGTATTATTATTATTCGTCCAACGTCTTTCGACTTTTGTCTCTCTCTAATCTAGTGTCGTCATTATCCACTGTGTTAATTTGGTCAATGCCAAGTTGCTAATTTGTTGTTAAAGTTTATACAATAGGGGACTTAAAAAGAGTAGTTGAATATGATAACTATGAAAAATAAATATTACTATTGAGCCCAATTAACTGTTGTCATAAGTTTTCATCAAATAAATTTTGTTTATTTGACGCTTTAATCTTTTATTATATTGTTGTTGTCAAAATAAAAACAAAAACAAATATTTCCCTAATGAATTTTCCATGACTTTTGATTTAAATGTAAGCTTTAAAATATGATTGTTTTGGCTTTCCTCAAAGTTTTTTGTGTAGCCACTAACCATAGAGTTAAGAGCATCCTTATTGCAAGCCTCTTAAATAAGATACAAAACACTATACTAAGATTGTTTTTCCAATTCTAAGAGGCTTGCAATAAGGATGCTCTAACCCAATTTAATCGATGAATGACTTGTATTTAATACTTGTCTGAGAATAACCGCCAAGCAAGTGTACAAGGTTTTTATTATTGCTAAGAAAGTTGGAAAGGAGGAGATTACCTCTGCATCTATGTAAATTTGAGTGTCCCAGTGAGAGTCTCTTCCCAGTAAAACCAGGATTCCTCATCCAAGTTCTTGTCTTTGTCGCCTTCATGTCTATCAAAGTTGTAACATTGCTCTAAGGAGAAAGCCACGTCAATTAGTACATCAATGTCTGTCTCAAGTCAAGCAAACTTCATGCCATCTTACCTTGAATTCTTCATCACTTATTGTAAAGTTAACTCTCAACTCTCAAGGTCCTGCGTAGCGACTCGACCTTGTTAACATTCGAATCAATATGTCCAAGAACCTTATTCATAATAAACTCAAAGGCAATTAAATAGATCCGCATCAACTATATATCCAAAGTCTGAGTGGTAGAGAGGTAATATAAGTTGGTACCTTAACTAAATTCTGGTTAATGAACTAAACAACATAGACGCTCGAATGGTTCTTGTGTTGCAGAAAAAGTGGCCATGCATCAAATATAAATATTCAAACACAAGGGAAACTCCAGAATGTAACCATTGTCAACGCCAGAGGCTTTAAACAGAGTAAGAAGCAACAATAGAAGCTGTCTAAAGGGCGTTGCAGATTGGAGAACACGAAAGCTAATCCAGCACTAAGTTTAGTAAACAGTCAAACAATGCAACAATCCTCAATAAATCTACCTTGACTAGCTATAGTATACTTGAACTACACAACCATGACCAGATACAGCTTTGAGAGTTCATGAGACAACCATATCCATAGAGATAGCTGTCTGGTCTCGAGAAAGTAGTTAGGTTACAACAAAAACTAAAACTGAAATACAAGTTATATAGTTTTCAGCATACAGTTTAAACACAAAATACACACACATACACACACTTCAGAACATTAAAGATCACTAAAGCTAACATATACAAAACCAACAGTATGTCTCAGGTATCCAAAGCGAGATTTTCAGAATGATCTTCAACCCGGAGAGCCACCGTAGGAGATGTGCTGAGGATCGTCACACGTTTCTCTCCAGAGAATCGCCAAATATTGAGCTCGTCTTCGGCCCTTCCGGTATGCACTCCATATTTGTAAGCAAAAGTTACATTACCTTCATTGGTGAACAAAATTGAGTTCCCACTCACACCACAGCCATCAGGAAACTCCTTAGCAGAACATGAGACATTTCCAAAGTGTTCAGGAAACAACACACGTCCTCCCAAATCACTGACAACAACCCAAACACCAGCCTCTTCATCTAGCCTACTTACTCTACATGTAAACCGATTAAAATCTAGTTCATCAGCATCAGGAATCGGGTTGAAATTCTCGACCAGGTAAAGCTCATCATCGCCAGATGGAACCAGATGATTGACTGAACGCAGAGGCTGCGAAGGCATCAAAGGAGTCGCCTCCAGCGAATAAGGATCGATAACGACAATTTCCCCGGTTAAAAAAACCGCATAAAACCGTCCCCGAAAAGTGACTAAATCCGTGCATTGATAGTTTGGGACAGTCGTGAGCCGCTTCCACCTCATCTCCGCACTTGTTAACACCAACAAAACTTTAGAGTAGTTGAGGATCACAATGAACTCTTCTTGTCCTTCTCCATCCTTGTTTAGCGGAAGGAAAACCACACCTCTGTAATATCCTATCCATCGCTCGGGATCCCAACCGACTATTCTGTACTGATACCCCATAGGAACAACCTGATAGTCAAGAACATTCACCAACGTTGGATCAATTCCTCGGGCATTCACTTTCACTGAACACTGCAGGGGAGATGAAAGCGCCAAACGATAATCCGACTCATCTTGGCCTATTCCTCCCAGGAGATACTCACACTGTAACGCAGCCGAAGCAGCAGGACCTCGGACTCTAAAGAGAAACAAAGGGACCTTCTTTAAGGTGCACAATTCTTTGTTTTCCAGAGGGAAATCAACGAACGAGGGAAGAGAATAACTTGGGCGTAACATGCAAGAAGGAAATGGAAATGATGATCGCCACGAACGGCAAACAGAACGAGCATGAACTACATCGAAACAGTAATCATCCAGTTCCAGTTTCTTGGAGATAAGTGGAAGTAGCTCATTGGGAAGCTGAGACCAGTCTGGCATCATCGATGACATCTTCTTTCTTTCTCCTTACAGGTTTGCTGATCAAAAACAAACAGAACAGAGAAGATTTTATCACATAAGTATAAAGGTGAGAGATTTGCAGAAGTAATATAGAACCCAGAAGATTTCTCAAAGAACCTTAAAGATATACAAGTACTAAAGTCTATAGCCAAAATTCAAGGGAGCTTTGATTAGAAGCAGGGGAAGTCAAAACAAGAAACATACCTTGGTCGTAAGTGAAAGACTAGTATGCAAAGTGAAACCAGAGGATGGAGAAGAAATTACTTCAACGAGAGATTTAAGGGTGGAGAATTTTTACTGCTTTAGGGTAGAAGAGTAGATAAGAAGATAAGAAATTGGAAACGGAGTCACCTAGAAGATAAAAAGGAAGAATTGATGTCGGTTTCATCGGGTTTTGTTACCACATTTTATTAAAATACCACTTTTACTGTTTTATATTAAATGGGCTTATATTGGGCTTTTGTAAAGAATAAATTGATAAGTTTTCTTGAAAGTTGTAGGCTGTATGTAGGCTGTATGTAGCCTGTAGCTAATAGGCGGCTAGACATGTTAATTAGGATTAAAGCCTACGATGTAGTTCGTCATGAAAAAATTAGGTTTGGATTTAAATATATATGTTCAAGAAAAATCGGGATTTTTGAGCTAAGCCTATTTGAGGTAAAAGATTTTTTGGTTTAAACCAATTGGATTCGGACTGGCCTAAAAAGTCCTTAAACAAATATGTTTTGAATTTTTTTATTTATTTTAGTTTGATTAGATAATTTGATTAATAAATTAGTTTTCATATTTACTTACTAATCTTACTTAATACTTTTAAAATCTTTATCTATGACATTTTCATTTTTTCTTTTAAATTAAGTTATTTTTAATGAATATTGATAAGTTATTTAAAATTTGATGTATTGTTTTTATAGTATACCTTTAAATATTGTTATTTAAAAATTATTTTGAACTTAGAAGTTGATTTTTTTTTATCCGTAAGTAAAACCAAAAAAGGACGAAAAAACCCTGTAGCCATCTAGGCTTTGAAATATAGGTTCGAATATTTTTTGGGCCGGGCCAGGTCGATTGACATACCTACCTTCTTTTTGTCATCAACACATGTTCATTAACCTACCTATGGCACATATGTGTGATGTGTCAAAGGCAAATTGTGCAATGCTGGAGACTAAGAATAAAACACATCTTTGGTCAAAACTGAGAAACTTTTTGCACTGTTGACAAACTTTGGTCAAAACTGACTTATGATCAAGATTACAGCCAAACACATCTTTCAAGAGTTCAGGAAACAATATTTTCATGCATAGACATGGTTGTGTTGGGGATAGTTTTAAACAAAAATATATTAAGACTTGGATACCAAATGATATTAGTCTTCAGCATATCACCGTGACACAAAAAAAAAAAATATAAGACGATGGGCAACAACAGAGATCACAAAGTCTATAACTATGACTAAAGCAAGGTTTATTTGTGGTCTAATAAAGAAAAATAAATAACCAACAGAATGACTTAGTGCTCAACTTGGAGAGCCAAAACTGGTTCTGTGTTGAAGATCATCACACGATTCTCTCTTGTGGCTCTCCAACAATTGAGATCATCTCCCACGTTACCAGTATGTACTCCATATTTATAGGCATAAGTTGGTACATCAGTGAACAAAATTGAGTTCCCACTCACACCACAACCATCAGGGAGCTTCTTAGCTGAGCAAGAGACATTACCAAAATGTCCAATAAACAACACACGGTCTCCCAGATCTTTGACCTCAACCCATTTCCCACCTTCCTCATCTAGTCTACTCACTTTACATGTGAACCGGCTAAAATCTAATACCTTACAACTTGGCATGCTTACTTCAACCAGGAAAAGTTCGTCATCACCAGATGCCACCATATAGTTTAGTGGCTTAAGAGGTGAGGGCGTGAGGAGAGTCACCTCCAGCGAATAAGGATCGATAACGAAAGTACTTTTTGCAAGAAAGGATGCATAAAACTTACCTCTAAAAGTGAATAAATCTGAACATATAGAAGCTGGGACGTTCTCAAGCCGCTTCCACTTCATTTCGGCACTTGTTACCACCAGCAAAACATTAGTGTAGTTGAGGAGCACAACGAATTCTCCTCTTCTTCCTTCCTTGTTTAGCGGTAGAAAAGCCGCACCACGATACTCTTTAGGTTCCCAACCAACCAATCTGTATTGATGGCCTAGAGAGAGGATCTGGCAGTCGGTCATGTTCATTAACGTTGGATCATTTCCTTGGATATGAACTTTTACTGAACATTGAAGAGGAGATGGAAGATCCATATGATCATCTCGGCCTATTCCTCCTAGAAAGTACTCGGAAGCAACAGTAGGAGCTTGGACTCTAAAGAGGAACAAAGGAACCTTCTCGAGGGTGCACAAGTCTTTGCTTTCGAGAGTTAACTCGTCGAATGTGGGAAGAGAGTAACTTGGACGTAAGAGGCAAGAAGGAAAGGGAAACGAGGATCGCCACGAGTTGCAAACAGACCGAGCATGAACGACATCGAAACAGTCCTCCACATTTGTGGAGACAATTTGAAGTAACTCCTCCGGTAGAAGAGACCAGTCTGGCAACATTGGTGATGATGATGTCTTCATTTTCATTGCCATGGTTGTGTGATTTCGAAATCTGAAAAGAAAAAAAAAAATACAATTCAAGGGTTAAGGAACTTGTAAACAAGCATGACCAGAGAAGATTGATAGCTTAACTAAGATGTAACAGTTTTAATTACGAACGTACCAAAATGCTAAAGGGTCAATTTTTTTGAATAGGAAGGAGCCGTTGAGGGGAGCGGTTCTTGTGTCGATTTCAATTTTCTTGACTTATTACGCCAACAAATAACTCACGAGTGACGACGTCAAAAGACAATATTCTTTTTTTTACCCTTTTTCTAATGTTCACATTTTTCATTTCTTTTAATTACACAAAAAAAAAAAAAAAAAAAATCTGCTCCAAGAAACCCATAACAGGAGCCAAAACAGAATATATATATATATATATATGTAATTACTAATAATATAATTAAAAAGACAAATGCCGATCGAGATTGTTGCTTTCATACTTCTGGATAAAGGATGGTATTCCTTATAAACTAATCAAATCATTGAATGATTTGTAGTCTGATTCAGCTTTCTATAAGACTATTAGATCAAGTTAAAAAAAAAAAAAAAAGATCACAACTTAGCTGAAACTGAAAAGAGGGTAACTAAATTAGCTCTCATATCCCTACTATAGTAAAAGAGAAGTACACAAAGGATTCGGGTCGGGTTTTTCAAAAAATTCCGGGTTAAATTTTCAATCGGATACTTGCCAAATTTTTTGTTAAATATTTTTCAAATATTTCAATGATATACACCAGATTCCTATCATTTAGGAAAACTATATTAATGCTAAATAAAAAATAAGTCTTATAAGTAAAATTTGTTTATGAATATAAAGATCTCAATATTTTAAAAATATTCTAATTATTATATTAATTTCTTATATGAAAAACAAAAAAAAAATTATAATTTTTTAAAAGTTTAAATATTTGATATATAGAAAAATATAATTTAAAAATATTTGGTATAAAAAATATAAAAATGCATCTAAAATACATAAATAATGGTAATATAATCAATAAAAATGTTAATTAGTTTGAATTAGTTGAATGTTTCGAAAAATAAAATTTGAATATATATGGCTATAAAAACGAAAGATTTTATTAAAGATTTTATAAAAAACGAAAGATTTTATATATATTAAATCTTTATTATTTTTTATATTTCCTAATATGTTAAATGAAAGATTTTAATCAGAATAAAAAAATAGTATATGAAAAGAGGTTTCAAAATTATTCCAATCTTTATCAATTTGAATTACCTATAAAAAAGGAATAATATTTTATCAATAGCATAATTAATGCAAAATTATAGAGATCTATATATATCTAGAAATGGTTATATTTGAATTTTGAAAAAAAAAAGAAATTTGACAATCACTAATATATTTCAATGAGTAATACGAAATATTTTGGATACAAAAAAAAATATTTTAGGATAATTATTATAATTAACTAAAAATACTTTAATAACAATATTTTATCTTTGTAATTATTAATCATCGAATTACTACTAATACAAAATCAGTCATAAAGAATATATTCCATAAGTTAGTTTAAATAAATTACCTTAAACTCTGAATTTTCCTTAAAATGTTCTAAATATTTTAATATGTGAATAACAAGAATATTATGGTCTCTTATTCAATATGAAGTATATTAATATTTTTATTTTATTTTTATAGGATACAAGTATATACAAATCTTTCAAACTCATATGTTCGTGTGTGATACATGTGTATACATGATTTTCATGATTTTTTTTAAAATACACGGTTTTTGCTGATTGGTTCGTCACCACATACATTGTGAGTATACAATTTGTTTAATAAACGTTCTTTTATTTAGTTTATAAAAATATTATATTTAATTTCCGAAAACACACTTTTCTCAAAGAATTGAAACCAAATATACATTTCGAAATAATAATTGTTGATACTAAAATGAACGAAATAATAACACATACGACAAAACACGTTAAAATAAAATAAACCTGAAAATATTCTTTCGCGCTGTAGCGCGGATCTAAACCTAGCATACGTGAGAAAGTATACATCCACGATAGTACATATTCTCATACTTGCCAAATTCAACACCAACAATCCATTTTAACAGTTAAAAGTTTACGTAATTCGGGAAAAAATAAAAACCGACACTTTTCATCCGCGCTGTAGCGCGGGTCCGAGCCTAGTACTAACAATATAGTAACAACAAAATTATGGTCTGTTTTCCATGGAAACAGAAACGGATACTTAGAAAAAAAATGTTTTGCAAACAAGAAAAAAAATGTTTTGTAAACTAGTAACGCATTCAAAGGGACCGGTGTTAGCTTGTGTTTGATTAATTTTCTACGATTTATTATGCTCTGTTTTTTATTCCTTTCTCTGTTCCTGCAACTTTTAGCAATAAAGAAGATGATGATTAAAAAAAAAACTAGTAGTTGTTTAATATATATATTATCATAAAATACAAAATATCAAAACCATATATTGAGAAAAAATGTTTTGAAACAATACGTTAATCTAAAATATAGATATTTAAATAGTTTAAGTGAACGATAAAGGTTAAAAGTTGGGGATCGCTCGGCACATGACTGTGGCTCAAGCATGGACTTCACGTCGGAGGAGAAGACACCGCCAAGGGCACCTAAATGCAATCGAAGATGTCTTGGCTACCCAACGTCACAACGCCACGACCCAACAGGATCTCCTACTTTGGCGGGGCAAACACGACGATTTCAAACCAAATTTCTCAACAAAAGACACATGGCATAATACGCGGGTTCAATCTGCTAGAGTTTCTTGGCACAACGGCATTTGGTTCCCTCACGCAACACCAAAGCATGCTCTCTGCGCATGGTTGGCAGTGCATGATCGCTTAGCTACAGGAGTAAGGCTACTCCGATGGAATAGAGATGCATCGGGCAACTGTGTTCTGTGTAACAACAGCATTGAAACCAGAGACCATCTTTTCTTCATTTGTAGCTACTCCTCGGCCGTCTGGGCTGCGCTAGCTAAAGGCGTTCTTAGAAGGAACTATACAACAGACTGGACCTCGCTTCTCACTTACATCTCAAACAATCAACTTCCCCATGTGGAGAAGTTCCTTGCTCGATATATCTTCCAGACTACTATACACAGCATTTGGCGAGAGCGCAATGATCGGCGTCATGGCAACTCCCACACATCGACAGAACAACTGATCAAGCAAATCGATCATCTAGTACGCAACCTATGCACAGTAATTCGGCGGATGGCAGACCACAAATATGATGCTAGTTTCCAAACGTGGCTGCACACAAGACAAGCAACATGAAGATTTTTAGATTCTACTACTTTTTCTGAACTCTCAGCAAAATTTCAACTTCTATTTCGACATTTGATGCACTTGTTGTAAAAACGAAACCCATTTTCTTTTGAATATAATTTAACATTATTTTCAAAAAAAAATAAAAAAAAATAAAATAAAGGTTAAAAGTTAAAAACACTTAGACATAAATTTAGGTTTTATATACTCTTTTTTTGGTAATGTATATATCATATATTCTTGTATATGTGTATTTTTAATTAAATTAATTTGGTTTTTAATTTACAAAAGGTATCATTATATGTCGTAAATCAATATATTTCCAAAGTAGTTGTCTATTAAATTTGTAAACTAGAAATGTAAGATTTTATCACATTTCTAAAATGAAAATGTGAGCTTCTATCGTATTTTCAAAAAAAAAAAATTATGAGCCGCATTTTCGTAATATTTGTTGTGTTTCCGAAACGGAAACAAACTATATAATGAGTTTCCATGCAATCTAGATTATGGTGAATGAATAGATTATAAAAATATGTTTTTACATGGTAAAACAAAATTAGTAAAGCTTGAATGCTTAGGCCTTGAATGGCTCCAGATTTTGAACTAGTTTTTGGTTTTTGATTTTGCAAAAACTAGTTAGTTAGGCATTCATGATTTTGATAGAAGTAGATTTCCTAAAAATTAGGAAAACCAAATTTTTAGAGATTTTGCTTATTTGTTCATAGAATCCAAAAACCAAATTTTGTGGATTCCAAAAAACTTTTACGTGAGTTTTTTTGTTAAAAACATTTTATGCCCAAAACAGAAACAATTTCTTTTTCAAATACCTTAAAAAAGTTTTTGATAAATAATTAAATTTAAAATCTAAAAACCAAACAAACTACCATTCAAGATTTTGTAAAAACTAAAATCTATACCAAACAGTATGCGGTCTCCAAAATCGCTTACCACTACCCATTCGCCAGCCTCCTCATCTAGCCTACTCGCTCTACATGTTAACCTACTAAACATAATTACTTCAGCCTCTGGGATGGTTGCCTCAACGAGAAAAAGTTCATCATTGCCAGATTGAACAAGATAATTTACTGATCTCATAGGCTGTGCGGGATTCAGGGGAGTCGCTACCAGCGAATATGGATCGATAACAAAAACGTCCCCGTTAAGAAAGACTGCATAAAACCTGCCTCTGAAAGCTAATACATCCTTGCATGAAGCATCTGAGATTTTCCTAAGACGCACATCCACTTCATTTCTTTACTTCTTAACACCACCAAATCATTACTGTAGTTGAAGATCACAACGAACTCTCCTCTTTCCTTGTTTAAGGGAAGAAAAGCCACGCCTTGGTAGGATGATAGCCAAGCTTCAGGATCCCGACCTATCACTCTGTACTGATGACCTAGAGAGAAGATCTGGCAGTCTAGCATGTTCATCAAGGTTGGATCAGATCCTGGTTGAAAGTAAAACAGAGATTGAAGCTTTTTGTATTCTTATTTCAGCTTAAGGTTTTACAATTGGAATACAACTGATATTTATACTTAGACAAAACCCTAAGAGACACATGACAGATGTTCTTCATCCATCGGAGCCTAGAGAATCAAGGGCTGTGAATCTGTTCTTCACTTTAACTGTGTTCGTACACATGACAGCTTTCTCTCTGGTTTTGTCTTGAAGCGCTGTATCCGTTGCAGCTGATGAAGGTGA